ACGAACAGTAAAAATTCCGGGCCCATTCTGTGGTTGGCAATAAAGCTCGCCACGTTGTCTTGCATGGTTGCGATCCGGCCCCGGGGCACCTTGCAGTAGTAGGGGGCGTTTTCCTCTCTGTAAGAGGCGGACGGCTCCGCCCAATTGTCCCCCTTCTCAACTGCGTGAGAAAGTCTCGCCTCTTGTAGGCGGCTATGTTTTTCTTCTGAGCCTGGAGAACTGTGGCCAGAAGAGCTGGACTCGGACTCGTCCTCTGATGAGTCCGAAGAGGACGACTCCTCCCTTCTCCTAGAGGGGCCCGCCTCCTCTCCCTTAGAAGGAGCAGGAGTAAAGTTAGACATATCAACGGTAAGATGGGAAGGGAACACCTTGCCCCCTCTCTTAGAACTGTCGGCTTGGCAGCCGCCTCGGTTCAAATCTACATCTGGCGCCTGGTCAGATGTTTCACTAAGGAGCACCCTTTGGGAGGAGCCATCTGAGTTTGATATCATGGCAGTCTTTTTGGTTCTGGCCATCACGTTCTGCATAGACACAGATACAGTCGGACTTTGTATAAAGGGCAAAGATGGGTCCAGAAAAGGGCAGGCGGCACTCCTAGTCCTAGATTCAGCCGTCCCCGGTGACCGGCTGATCACTAACTTAGGTCGTGTCGTGTGCTTCCGTGGTGCCATTTCAAAAAAATAAAAAGAAAATTAAGAGTAAGAGAACTGAGTTACCTGAACGAGTGATGGTCGATGAAGTTCTGGAAATCCGGGTCAGTCGGTTTGTCAGAACAGGCGGTAGGCAGAAAATGTCCGAAATGTCAGAGCAAGTTCAGGGGTCCGAATGTTCTCGCAAAGTTCTCAAATGTGAAAATGACCGAAGTCAGCACTTCCTTATATAGGCGAAGTGAGAAGGCGAAGGGTCGCTTCCAAATTCAAAATGTGGGCGGGAAAATCTCTCGGCCGTTTGCAAGGTGACACCTGTAGCAGGCCGTCGCCTCTCACCATGCGACACCTGTCACAGGCGACACGTGACCAGTCACGTGCCACCTGTGAGGGGCAAATGATTAGGGGATTTTTATCCTCCAATCACCGTCTGACAAGTGGACCAACCAGGTTCCGCCACGTGTCCTTCACGTAGGCAAATAGGAGCCTGCCACGTGTCAATCACAGATACGTCCTCTGCGGACTAATTGAGACACGCCACGTGTCCACCCATGCCAAATGGGAAAACCGGCCACCAAGGCCCAATCCTGTTTAGAGGCCCGGTCAGCCCTAGGTTTACCCTAAACCTAGAGAGTGGCACGCTTCTCAAGACTATAAATACTCCTCTTAATCCTCATTAAGAGGAGGACGAAAAAGAGAGAATCAGAGAGAGAAAAAGTGACAGAACACTAATCACTCACGGATTATACATTAAACACTCTCACCTAGAGAGACCTTATTACTTTAATTTCCGTAATCATTACTCCTTAATCAGGTACTAACTTGACCGTTGGAGGCGGAGCTCTCAGGAGTCTCCGTTATTTTGCAGGTACAGGCGGCCGGTTCCAGTCTCGGTGTTGTAACTCTCCCGCAGGACATCAGAAAACCCCGAAACAAATATTGTTATGATAGTGGTAGAAAAATTATTTAAACCAAAGGATTTGAACCTATAACATTGAGTTTTGATTATCTTAATACTAGGGTAACTAACGCGCGCGATGCGCGCGCCATATCCAAAATTTATTTTGGTTGGGTAAATTACAAAATTAGTTGTTGATAATTGATATATAAATAACTATGTTTAGAGGTATAAATGTCCAAGGCAACTAACATTAATGAGAGAAAAAAAGTAAATAAAATTTTTGAGGGTATAATTGTCCAAACACTATTCATTGAAAAAAAAACTTGTACATATCAATGAGGGTATATATGTAAATACACATTTTGAAGGGTATAATTGGCATTACACTATTCATAAGAGTAATCTTATACTTTTTATAAGGTAGGGAAAAAGCGTTACTTATAAGTGTCACAACATAGTTCACATTACTTTTGAATATTTTAACAAGGGTGGACATCTTCCTTATTGTTGCAAATAAACATGTGTTTTAACTTTTAAGTAACCATTGTTGCCACCTATTTGAGACGCGGAAGACGGAAGGAAAGAAAGGAGTATGTAGGGGGTTTACGTGCTTCAAGTTGAAGAGTCTCTTAATGATTTTGCTGCTGCTTATAAGTACTCTTGTATGCTGTGTTGGAGTTACATAAGTTTATAGGTACAAACAAAGGTGTGTAAACATGAATTAAGTTGCTAAAGGGTGCAAATAATGCATCGATAGTGATGTGTTGGCTCGTTCATTTAAGTTAAGGTGGCGATGTGTTTTTGTCACAATTTGCACAGTTTGGTCGTTTTTATGTTTTTCTATATAAGATTTTTTTGGTTCAATACTTCTAAGGAAGGAAATATGAGGAGAACTTTTTGTGTAGACATGGCTATTGATATGTGTTTATATATGAGTTGCTTGATTAGAAATTAGATAATTTGGTTTATGTATTAGGGTTTTGTTTAGCTACTTTGCAGCTTATGTTATTATGGTTCAATTATTAAAGGCTACTTGTAGCCTTCTAACTTGTTCAAGCTACATTGGTGTTGTTTCTAAATTCTAATACTTGCTTGCTAGTTTTCTACTTTTCTTTCAATAAAATTACAATTTTATTTTTCTTTACTTTTTTTAATGACATAATACCTTTAAACCTTTTTATTTACCCTACATAGTATATTAGTACATACTTTACAAATTTTCAATTGTGGTTGAAGCAATGGGTGTGCTTTAGGGCAAGGGAGGGGAAAGGTGGGAGTGGAGGGAGGAATTTGACTCACATGGGAACGAGAAATTGAAGGTAGGACAATGTTGTGAAGTTAAGGTTGTATGATGGGAGGCTGTGAACAACAATATTGGTAACCAAGCGTTGTGGCCGATGATGGGTAAGCTGTAAGTATAGTGCATGTGTAGTGGTGAACACTGAGTACTCTAAAGTGATGTTTGGTTAATAAGGAAGTAGAACGTCATACGAATTTGGAATTTATGGGAATTAAATTGCTTACTTTAAATGCATGGGATGTTTCAAAAGTTGTTTGGTTTGCAATATGGGAAAGTGACTTTCCATAGAGATTTTTATTTACATAGGGGAGCTAGGTAATTAAATTCTTACATTTTTTGGGAAGTGAAAATACTTCTCCATTCCACCATTTTTTTTTGTCAACCAAACAACTCTCCTAATTACAATTCCTAGGATTTTTCAATTCCCATATTTTCTTTTGCCAACCAAACATCACAAAGTAACTTGTTTACATATATAAGAATTCTCAATATGTATTATATTCCATGTACTAGTATGTAAATTAAACAAAATAACACAATATTATTATTATTATTTTTTTTTTTTGGAGAATATGAAGTTTACATTTGTATATATATGACACTTGCAATTAAATTAGATTCAACATAAACAAATGTAAATTTAAATGAATCTCACTATTAAAAACACTAAATTCAAACAATTGTCAAGTTCACACTCCTTGCATTATTTCATCAAAATTTCAACACTAACACATGGGGTCTAACAATGTCGCAAAAGCTTCAAATAGTTAATGAGGTAGGTTTTGAAAATTCTTATATGCACTTAGTTGCACCCTAATGGTATTCTAAAATATTCAAATGAGAAAAAAAAAATAAATAAAAAAATCAAATGACTATAAATTACCTTTTTGCCGCGCATATCTTTAGATACAGTGAAATTTTCTGCCTCTAATAGCTTGAGTCTTATATGACTTTAATAACGCCCCTTTGTTAAATTTTGCCTAAATGGTATCACTTTTGTACCAAAATACTTTTTCATTGTTACCAACAAAATTCTTTGTTGTTACCATCTGAATATAGCTTAATATCAACAAATGTTATTAGAGTCACGGAAGACTCAAGTTATTAGAGGCTGAGAATTCCTCTTAGATACATGTGGGTGTATGCAAGAATCTCTCATGAGGTATTATTGATTTAAGTAAAAAATTAAGAGTCTGTATCTGATTAATTACAGTCAAATTCTTTTTCAGTACCGGATATATAATGCTCTTGACTCATTTGAAAAAAAAAATATTGATCAAACAAAAGATTTTTCTGAATTGGATTAATTTTAGGAAAATTTGATTCTAATAATCTCACCTTTAACCGGTTCGCTGCTAATAATCCCACCTTTGGGGGGTATTCTCTTCTAATGGTCCCTTATAACCGGTAACTTGTTGTTTGGGTAATTTTTTTTTTTTTTTTAATTCCTTGGCCACTAGGAGGTAAGAAAAAATATTAATCTTTTTATTTTTGTTTTCAAAACAATAAGGAAGAAGGAAAGGGAAAAAAATTGCTTTTTAAATTTTTTTTTTATAAAAGAAATATAAAAAATATTTTTTTTAAAAAAAAAAAAAATCCTTGACACCAGGTGGTAAGGAAAAAAATTAATTTTTTTTATTTTTGTTTTCAAAACGATAAGGAAGAAGAAAAGGGGAAAAAAATTACTTAAATTTTTTTTTTTTAAAAGAAATATAAAAAAAAATATATATTTTTTTTAAAAGAAATATAAAAAAATATATTTTTCTTAAAAAATAAAAATCCTTGGCCACCAGGAGGTAAGAAAAAAAAAATTAATTTTTTTATTTTCGTTTTCAAAATGATAAGGAAGAAGGAAAGGGAAAAAAATTACTTTTTAAATTTTTTCTTAAAACAAATATATAAAATATTTCGACGAATCACAAAGTGACACGTGACATATTAATCCACTACACCGGTCACCAACAGGTTAGGGACATGGGATTATTAGATAATAATGAAAAGGTGGGATTATTAGTAGCGAACCGGTCAAAGATGGGATTATTAGAATCAAATTTTCCTCAGTTTTAAAGGCAATAGAGGGAGTACACATGTAGTTGGGGTTGGGTGGGGTTGATGGGATGAAAGTAGTCAGGGCAGTCACGTGAACAACAATGGTTGATAATCTGACTGATAGCTGATTATTCTGAATTACGAATAAAACGTGGAATGTCATCTTCCCTAATTAACTCCCCCTTCACTCCCATTACACCATTACTAATAATTAATCACCCCCTTTTTTTCAAATACAAAATCACTTTTAAACAATTTTTCCTCCAAAATTAAATTCTCATTTTCAAACTCACTCTCTCTCTTCTTTCTCTCTCCTCCCTACCTTTGTCTCTTCCTTCAAAGATCTATCATCCCTAAAAAAACAACTCAGACATTTTCTCTCTCCTCCTCTCTCCATTGTCGTCTTCCTCCTTTGAACCTCTCAACACCACTATATAATGCCGTCTTCTGACACTGACTCTGTCTTTCCTGTACGTGCTTTCTCTCTCCTCTAACTCTTTCTCTCTCTAAACTTCTTTCATTTTTTTTGTTGATTTTTTTTTTGTGGATTTTTCGTTGATTTTTTCAGTCTTCTCCTTCCTTGGGATTCGCAATGAGGTCAGTTTCTTCAATTTCTAACTCTGTTTCAACTTAACTTAGGGTTTCCAATTTTTGGAGTTTTTTTGAATTTTTTGTTGATTTTTTTGTGTGGTGATAGTAGCAGTGAGATGAATTTTGCGGATGTGAACAATTTGGAGCATTGTATAAAGTATTTAAATCAGACGCTTGTTACATTCGGATTTTCGGCTTCGCTTGATCTGTTTGCTAATGATCCAGTATAGTACATTTCCTCTTTTGTGTGTTTTGTGTTCAATTTCTGTAATGTGAGTTATTTTTCTGATTGGATTGGTGTTGTATTGTGTTGTGATGTTTCGGCAGGTTTCGGTGGCTCGTACTTGTAATTGTATGTACTCTTTGTTGCAGCAGAGGCAGCGTGATATCGAGTTCCGAGAATCAGCGAATGAGCAAAGACAGCGGTATGAATGGCTGAATTAGAATGTTTTGCAGCTGGTTTTGGTTTAATTTGTTGCTTGATTTTGGTAGTAAATCTTTGGAGATACTTGAATTGATGATCTATTAGATAAGATTTTTAAATTTATTTGTTGTTTTGACTTTTGAATCCGATCATCTTGTGGTCCTATTATCAATTTTAAATGCAATTGTAAGAAGTGTGTGACTCTGATATATTGCTATGCTTTTCAGTTTGTCTGTTGAATGTCTAGTTTGCTCGAAAAACAACCATTTTCACATGCTCACTGAAATGAGCTCATTGAAGTTTCGCTTCGTTGTGAATCTTGTGATCTATTTAGGATTTTAGGCTGCTTTCAATACTTCCATGACGATGTAGATTCCATAGGCATTAGGTCCTATTATTTGTTTGAGCTTCCTTGTCATTTTCATGGTCTTTACTTGTCTTTTATGAAAATCTAATATATTGCAAGCACAAAAACGAGTTCTCTCATTTATTTATATCTCATGTTGTTGTAATATTTTGATCTAGAAGTCTCTTTAGTGATATTCATCAGTGTTTACATGGATATTTGCTATAAATATTTACTTAAATGGACCGTGGATTAAATAGGATGTTTGAGGATGAGTCTTCTATGTATTGGTATTGTGTATGGACAAGAATGTTTTTTTAATGTCTGCATTTCTAGACTTTCTAATGTTATCTATTGATGATTACCTTTGATGTTCCATTCAGATCACTCGTAATCTGGTTAGCTAATTGATTACTGCCATTTAAGCAGCAGCTGTAGCATGTGAATTGTTTCTTTTCATCTAGTCATTTCTTTGTGGCTGTTGAGTATGTTTGCTAGCAAAGGAATGATAAACATATTGTACCTCCCAATTTTCTTCTACAATAGTGCCAATTTTCACCTTTCTTGCAATAATCACCTCAAATATCAACACCAGAATGGATCAAGCTAATATAGCATTGGGGGCTTAGTATTTGAGCTAAAACTTATGTTTATTCGCACGAACATATCCAATTGTAAGGTTTAACCCCCTGAACTTCAATCAACTACCACAAAGCCTATAACTAGCTGTCTTGAGTAGCTTTCTAATAGTTTAAAACTTTAAATGGCTTTATCTACTTGACTTTGAGTCCACTTGCTTCATTGCCATAGGCATGTGAAACAACCGCAAGCTTCGGCTGTGTGTATAGTGATTCTATCAGAGTACCTTTTTTTTTTGTCCCATAAACTTATGTATACTTTGTATATGTTATGTATGGATTGCACCTGTTATGATATGCTGAAACAACAAAGTGAAGCCATGCTTCTTGACTGAGACCTTATTATTGGGATGTATCACATCGTCATTTGCTTCAAATTATTGGGTCTTGGTATGCCTAATACAATTTCTTGGCTCTACCTAGTGGGCCTTTCTGCCCTGATAGTTACTATTTCTTTGACCTGTTGAGCTTAACTTATGGAAGAGGTGGCATGTAATCAACCAAATTTAGATGTTCTCCATCTTTTTGTCATAACCCACGACTCTGTAATGGAACTACTTTATTAAGAATGACATGTAGAATTGGAGATGTCTGTAGAATTTCAGTGAAATTATCTTTGTTTCTGCATTACTCTTTATGAGGGAAACTACCAGGTTGGCATAAAAAATCTTTCCTTAATTGTTGTAAACAAATCGACCTGCAAAGGTACCAAAAAAATGGCTGAGTACATACAGAAGTGTTTATTTAGTTCAATTATTAAATGAGGCGCATGTGCTACTACCTTTGTTTATCTCATTTCCTTGTTTATTTTCTTTAGCCTACATTGTGTTTGCACTTTAGTTTTAGTTTGTGGAGGTTGTTAGTGGCGTGCGGTGGCACTAATGGTTGCTGCCAACCTATGTTATTCAGACTCATTTTACCTCAAGTTCTGTGTCGGATCCTTGACAATTGGACATGAGTGGGAACTTCGAAGTAGATAGGAGCTGTGTTGAGAAGACATAAATTGTTGGTGTTCAAAAGGATGGGGCCTTTCCCTTCAAGATCATTGGGAAATTTCTGTTATGTTTATTTACTCAATTCTAGAGGTTGGGTGGTTCTTGCAGGGAGAAGTAAAGTATTTGGTGCTACATGACATTCATGGTGGTTAAGGAGTTTCCATGACAGCAGCCATGGATGCTTAAAATCAAGCTTAATTATTGATGTAGGGAGGAGAATTTTTAGACTGGTTGCTGTGGCCTGTGGGATTTCATATAGAGGAGTGCTAGACATATAGGAGCTGTTTTTGTGGTGGGGAAGCGGAATACTTTGGGTGCAATTATTAAAAAAGAGAGAAGAAAAGGAAGGTTTATTTTGGACTGAGAGGATGGTACGTAGAGCAATTTTAATCCTTAGATACCAAAGAAGTAGGTAATGTCAAGATTGGATGACGGCAGAGAGGATGCAGAAAGTGGCATTGGGCTTTATGTGCACTGCCCTGTCTTGTAAAGAAGTTAAAAAGAGGAGAAGAAAATAAGTAAACACATGTCTATATTAGTGAAACCCACTGACCCTGGCGTTCCCTGTTTTGTTTTTTATTCCTCGAAATGGCCTGTGGATTTTAATCTCGATTTGGAAAAGACCATAATTATATTATGTTAATCTGGAAGGTTAGCCAAATCTTTCTAATAAACTTAACTGACAGAATAGGTTATGCTGCAAAAACATTGATCTAGGTGCTCTTGTACTGACTGTCACATAGCATCGTTTGCAAATAACGAAAGTTTTCTGAGAAAATGGAAACTTTGTTCTATAAATTCCTTTTACATGAAGTTGGAATTATTAAGGATTTTTCTTGTTTGATTGATTGTGTCTGTAACATGATATCTAATCATAGTGTAGACACATGCTTATCGGTGCTTTTGTGGGTTCTATTGCAGACTTAACTCAGACATATCAAGGTTGGAAGCCAAGATCGAGAGGCTTGAGTCACAGCTGGCAACAAAAGATAGGGAGATAGCAACAATTACTCGAACGGTATTGATAGATCTAATTTTTTTCATTCATTAACTACCTTACTGAGGCTCACAATATAGCAATGAAGTATTAAACTTTGTACTCTCTCTGTCCCTTTATTTTTGCTCCATTGTCTTTTTTGGGTCAAACTTTGTAAACCTTGACCGTAAATTACCGTTAGTCTATAAGAGAGAATATAGTCATGAGTGATGTTGTTAGATTCGGCTCATTGCATGTTTTATTAATATCACGTTTTTATAACTTTTACGTGTATGGAAATGAGGATATGTGCGTTCTAAGATGTATCTTGGAGACCGTGAAAAGTTAAATGGGGCAAAAAATGGGACAGAGAGAGTATATGTTTTCAAATGAACAAACCGGGGGGGGGGATACAAGGAACTTTTTTTTTTTTTTTTTTTGGGATTAAAATAATAGAGATATTTCTAGACTTACACTTTTTTATAGCTAGGGTGGTGCAATAGTAGTTAAGCTGTCTGACTGCAAATTCAAGAGTGCATATTAATGTGACTTGCCAGGATGTTGGTAGCTTGCTCATATATGATTATTTAATTGAAGTGATACTCAGCTAAAGTTTGCTTGCAATTATGTTGAATCCTGCTTTCCATATGTTTAGGAAGCCAAGGCAAGAGCTGGATTTAAAGGACAAATTGAGAAGTTGCAGCAGGAGAGAGATGAATTCCAGAAAATGGTTATCGGAAACCAGGTTAGAACTCATTTCTGGCAGGTGGACTCCCCTCCCCTCTTAAATTCAAGTTCTTTTTCTGACACCGTTTTTTTGCCCATCGAAAGCAAGTGAAAACTCAACAACTGCATGAAATGAAGAGGAGAGAGAAAGAGTACATAAAATTGCAGGTATGGTTTGTGTCAGAAAGAATGGGTTTTCATGCTATTATTGCTGTGTTACTTAAATATTCGGGACCTACTAGAGTTGGGAACACTCAGACCATAACTGATTTTTTCGTACTTGCAGGAGAGGCTTAACCAAGTTGTGAATGAGAAGAAGAAGGAATCTAGATCTGGCATGGAGATAATGAATTTGCTGCAGGTATGGATAGACAAATTATTGGTGGAATGTTGGTTAGGCTCCCTTATGCTGTCATTATAGGTTTAGCTGTTCAATTAAATTGTCATGGCACTTGTATGCAGAAAGAAGGAAGGCAGCGTGGCACATGGAATGGAAAGAAGACAGACAATGACTTCTATAAAAAGATTGTATGTAGAATGATGGATTGTGCTTATCAGACTCAGAATTCATTAACTTTCACATGCCGACTTTGGGGAAACAAAAGGGCTGATTTACCCTAAATTATGTATGTTTGCAGGTTGATGCTTACGAGGTCAAAAATCAAGAACTGATGCAAGAGAACAACGATTTGAGGGCCTTGTTGAGATCAATGCAGGTAAGTTTCCATCTGTATTGATGTCATCATCTTCTAAGCATCAGTCTTTATGAGTTTTTCAAAAATGTTATCCCAGTTCTCTGCTGTTCTAGGGACTTATTTGTTCTCAAATTGATATCTTTACACAAAACTCCTTTTTTTTGCTAGATTTGATAATATTTTCAACTGACTAAACTTTGAGAGATGTGTTGAGTTCAAGTTAAATTCTAAGACATTCATACAAACATTATCAACATGTCATTCTTTTGGGTCCACATTGTTGTAGTTATAATCTCCTATTCTCCTTAATATAGAGAAGTATCTGTATCTTAAATCAACTTTTAGTTTTCTTCTTTTGCCAGTTAACTATGATTAGAAAAATTATAGCTATAGGAAATTATGTTACTTGGAAAGATGCATGTCAATAAAAAATGGAGTGTCCATCTTCTGAATTCTGATAAGGATGATTACTTCCCTAAACTACTCTAGTATTGATGATACTGTACATATATTATGATTCCTGCCGGCAAAGAGAAAAAAAAAGCCATAATATGCCTCTTTTCTTTATGTAATGTAGAAAATTAAGTGGTCGATTAAAAAATGTCTGCTTGTGATTTGAGTAATGAATGTGCAGTTTAGAAATTAGCAAGGAGCAAGTAGAGATGCTTCATATAGGAAACTTGGCTTGTCCAAGGGAAAGGAAATCAGATTAGAGGAAGAAACACGTTTAAGTAAAGGGAGCTCAGTGTTCCCAAATTAATAAGTTAATTAACTTTAGAGGTAGTAATTTTTTTATTGAATAGTATTGGGCAGCCATAACTTGCCTCAGCCTTCATCTATAATTTCCATTTTGGTGTTTATGCACAGAAAATAATAGTCCTATTGAAGTTGATAATGACTTTGAAAATTTGATGTTGGCAGGAGGATATGCGTGGTTTCCTAAATGCCCCGAATGGTTCAACCAAGCAACCTCTGACCTCCAATGAAAAGCATGACAATGATCTTTCACAATCTCCTTTTGGCGGAAAGACGGTATTTCTAGTTATTGATATTAAAGTAGACGAGTTTTTGTTCGGTGTCATTGAAAGTAATTGTTACTTTTGTCCTTGTCCTTGATGCAGGATGTCTTTGACCTTCCATTCCACATGGGCAGGGGTCAAATTGAGGAAAACCTTCGCGCAAAGATGTCTTCAATAAAGGTTCTTCTGGCATCTCCTCTCCCTTTTCCCATCATCTTGCACATATACTCTCAGTATTGCCTCGTCTCACATGTTTATAATTGTTGGCTCCCTATTTGATCTTTGAAGGAGCGCTTATGTCAGCTACAAGATGCACAAAAAGGAGCTGATGTTACTTCTGAAGTCACTGAAAGGGAGCTTGAACTTGAAGCACAACTTGTGGAAGCAAGAAGCATAATTCAAGAGCAGGTATCGTAGCACTCATGTATTCTCTTTCTCGAGTGAGAGGTGGGGTGCTGTGGTATATAAAGATTGCTTGGCTTCACCTCTCCTTACAAAATGATTTTGTACCATATCTTTTAAGAAAACAAGGTTTTGATGTTACCTCCAAAGTGCGACAGAGTTTTTTCATTAAAAATGTTATCTGGGTTAATTATCAGCGTTAATATGTGGGTATTAGGGAAGTTCCTTCAGGAGTGTGGCTGGGCATTGAAATTATGCTCCTAATTGCTTATGAAATTTTCAGTTTATTGTCATAAATTGTTGGTCCATCGTGCTAAATTATATCTCAGTTAACAAAAAAATTGTAACCTTGTCTATATGACAGTATTTGATTTCATTTATCACTCAGCCTCACGCCCTTCTTTATTCGCAAATGCTGAATCTACATTGTGTTTCTCCTTGCAGGCATCTATAATGTCCAAACAACTCAAGTCAGAAAGGCGTAGGTAAGTTAGAATCAACTCCATCTGCCTCGGTATATTTGTTGATTTCTTAGTTAAACCAATGCAACATTACTGATGTCCTATTTTATTTCTGTTTTCAGGGAATCACTTGTATCGACACCAGAGGTAAATTACCTGTAATTGTTCAGGGCTAAACAGCTAGGTAACTGTTGCATTTCCTGCTTCTTGGCTGAACTGTTGAATGATTGTTATCAAATTGCCTTCAGCAGTAACCGAGAACAAGCAATTCAGGCTATAGAGTGATCTGATCTGATCTGATCACGTATGTACTACCAGAACTTCTGGATGTATGAAGAATCATCTAACATAACCGTCGGCTATATTTGCAACCGACTCTCACTTGACCTTGTAAAATATCTACGAAGAGGGTGCTATTCGTGTAGAAACTGTGTAATATATGTCGTTCCATGTGGGCAGAGGGGCTTGAAACTAATGAATACACTATTCTATTAGTCCATCAGTTAATCGGTTTAGTGTAGGTTAACATGCTGTTTATATAATGATTTATGTCTAAGGTCTATACTATGATCAGTTTCCAGCTGAGTTGAGTTGGATTAGATTCCATTCTATTATCAATTGTTAATGTAATATGATCATTAATCAGCTGTATGTCTAGGCTGTATTCAGTCGTATGTGAGATTAATATTAAATACTCTGAATTAATCCAGTAATCGCTCTTATTTTCTCCTGTAACTTGTCTTAACTCAAATCTACTATTCTGTGAATATAGTAGGTGTAAACCTATCAACTTTCATTAATTTCAGCAGTTTTCCTCATTAAGCTAAACAATGGAAAACCAGCCTAACCAGGTAAAATTTTTAACTTTTAATAGATTTGCCGACTTTAAGCAATCAGAATGAAACTAGTGATTTCTATGGATTTTCTTTTCAATATATTTCATAGTCTTTAATCTTTACTTTTTATAAAATTTCCTCATTAACTAACACCCAAACATACTGTTAATTTTGTTTAGTTTGCCACACTATATCGGTTATTGAACTAATGATGGTTGCATATAAGCATAAATACATTTCCTACATAACCACATTGGTATTATTAATATAGAGATTTATAACAAAATCATGCATTGATTGACGTAGTTCTAATTTTTCATGTAACTTAATATTTTTATTTTTAGCATTTTATATGCAGGTTTAAAGGGTTCTCACATATTGAAGAAATAAGTAGAATTGAACACATATATTATACTCTACTACATACAATTTGTGGGGAGAGTATGCTCACATTGTCCATCTTGTCATTCCTTAATGAAATATGGTAGGTAGGCTTCTCTCATTGCTAAAAGAGAAGAAAATAAAACCGGTAATTAGTTGGCTATTCAAGATTCGAAGATGGAATCTTTCCAAGTTCCATCGTTGAATCCGAATCATATTCTACATGAAGATTTAGTTGGTGTGGCAAGATCACGTTTTTAGTTCTAAAGTATTTGCTTTTTTGTTGGGTCTTGGGTCCTAGGCCTCATTTACAACCAAAATGAAAAAAGAGACATATAAAAACATACCAAAATCTTGTTGTATAATTAAAAATTGAAATCAAGAAATTAGTTATCATTACAATCAAAGCCTTAATCAGGCAGTCAAATGCCACAAACAATTGTGAATGGCTTCCCCATTTCTTTTTCTAGCTACTAATCCAGCAACATGAACACCCTTAATAATAAACCCACTTTCTTCATCATCTTCTGCCCTTTTCACTACTGCCTCAACAAAACCAATCATCATCTCATTTACTGCTTCATACCCTTTATGAGGATCTCTTGCTTGAATAAGCATTGCCATGATAATAACCACGTTGCCTTCACCATGATCACCAATCCTTTCTACACCATTTTCGCTTCTTCGTCGAGTTATATCTTGTTGCTGTTTTACTACTTCTTTGACACCCTTTTGAATATGGAGTCCTTCAATCACAAGTCTTCCTAGCTTCTCAATTGCTTCTAAGAGAATAGCTTCCAATACATCATTTGGAGTGTTACATTGATTTAAGGTCAATCTTTGTGTGTTCTTTATTGAAATGTCGGTCATTGGCATCGAGTTAAGTAACCAAGTCATTAGATTTTCTTTTCCCATTGCAGCCATTTGACTTAATACCTGTAAAAATGTATGATTCAAGCTTAATTTAGTTCATCTAATTGCTATAAGAAAACCAATTTGTTTTTATTAAGAGATTCCTTTATCTTATGCACAAGTACATATGGTTACAAAAGGAGTAATAAAATACTGCTCACTGTGTTGACTTAATAATAAGCTAATTTATCAAAATTTATAGAATGAAAATTTAATTAGCTAGTTTAATATCTTTTAGAAGAAGTGGAATGCAAATTATTCAAAGAAGTATTCAACATCGTTTCAAGATATTATTTTGGAAAAATAGAAAAGTATAGGTATAACTAATTCGAACCAGAAAATATGTAGCAAAAATGTAACATTATCAAACAAGCCCTCAATTATGTACCTCTGAAATATTGGATCCGATATCATGTGGCACGAGTGATGGAGAAGAAAATTGGATGACCAAATCTTTGCAAGTCCCATGAAGCGCCTTCTTATTACCATTCAACGAGTAAATATAGCCTCCATCACCGTCTAATCTTCCAAGCCTAATATCCCTTTCATTACCATCAAATTTAGTAACATAATGTGGCTCATAATTGGAGTTGTTACTCCTTAAATGATTCTTTAGTCGCGCTATTTCAGTGCAAAGCCATTCCTCTAACTCCACTAATTCTTTCTCCAATTTGTGCATTCGTTGCCATTGCATTTCAACCAATAATGCATTACAATGATCATCTCTGAGGGAGGAGGGATAGTTCACAGATGATATCTTTTTACGATGATAAGCTAGTGATACTTTTTTCAATATAGGAATTGGACTTACAACTATTTTAGTAGATATTGATGACGAGTTTGAACATGGTATATGATTTCGACATGATAGGTAAAAGGATTTGATCTTTGAATTAGGCTTCTTCTTCTTTTTGCTTTGCATTGTTATTGATCTTTGAAGACAATTTTTTTTGGTGTTAATTTTGATTGAAAAATAATGACCTATATACTTGTAAAGTTTTTGGTTCAAGGTAAGATTACAGGATTAGTGTGTTTGAATTTTTGAAAATTTGAAAATCTGTTGATCTAAGCTAGGTATATGCAACGGCTATGAGGTATTGTAAGATAGGTTGTTTTTTCACCCTTCCAATGCTTAAGAAATTTAAAACTGGCATTGTAAAAATCTTTAACATGTATGTTTGTATAAAAGATGAGTTACATAAATGCAATTATACTTTTTTTTTTTTTTTTTTTTTTTTTTTTTTTTTTTTTTTTTGCATAAATAAGCGAGTATGTAATCGATCAAATTGATTGTCTCGTTATCTTTAAAATCTGATAAGTGGACTCATCACAATATTTTCATTTCTTAGTCTAATGGATGATAACTAGAGTATGTTGGTTGATAATAGTAAACTCTGAGAGGGTGGAATCCAAGATTTAAGATTGACTTTCATCTACATCACTATCTTTGTGTTTTCTCTATCCATGAAAAAATGGTTGATTGTGTCATTTAATCAAGTTGTGGACTATTTACTTTTATTTATAAGAAAGTAATACGTATTGAAAAAAATTTGAAGTTGTTTATGAAAATTTTAACCAAACACAATCTGATCAAAAAACTTGATTAAGATTTATACATTGTGATCACTATCAGACATAGTCAATATAATTTGACCGATCACAAATTCACAATATTTAGGGACGAAGTTAATAAGAGGTTAATTCCATACTTCCATGGGAGACAAAATACTTGATCAATTATGTATCATCATCCAAATTCACAATATGCATATTTGATAGATCCATAAATTACTCCCAATAATCTTGCACCTAATCCCACTCTCCATAATATCACTCATAAGTGATAACTTGAAATAAGGTTAAATTGAAGAATCAAGTATGAATTATAGAAAATATATTAATCTCATAATCACAAATTACATGAATCAAAGAAGCAAACACAAAGATTACCAAATGTTTAAATTAATTAGAAACTCTACGTTAAATACCATATTGCATGACACAAGTTTCAAGCTAAAAAAACATCTCAAAACATAAAAAAGGAGGTTAAAACAATTAATCAAGACTTTTTACCTAAAAATACAACTATGTCACTCAATCCCTTAGGGTTACAAGTAAACGCCTTCCCACGAAACAAAGCCTTAGTACTTAGATTATTAACGTTGCTTGAAGTTCTATCATCCCTAAACGAATTAGCTGATGAAGATGTCAACGTTGATGCAAACGAAGAGCTCGAATAACGAGCTGATTCACTATGACCATACCTTTGTGACTCGAAATTTCGTTGTTCTTGTTCATGATGGTGTTTCCTTTCATTATAAAAGATAATCTTTCTAGGAATAATTCCTACAACTTTATAGTTGTAATGACCTGCCATAGTTTTCTTGAGTTTCTTCACTAGCCATGCACTAGACCACTTTTTCGCCTTAGGCTCATCATCTTCGACATTGAAGTAGGGTTTCGGAAGGTTCATTGATAGCACTGCGGGTGGTGGGCTAAGGGGTGGTAAGATATCATCCGGTGGTGGTGTGATGGGCTTCCCTGGCTGAGCCTCCCACACGAAAGCCTTCCCTTCCAGGGGCCGCCCGTAGTAGAGCCTAGAAGAGCATGAGCCTACCGTTGATTGCCTTCCTAGGATTTTGCTAGAAGAAGAAAAGTCATAATCCATTTTTCTTTGAAATAAGCTTTTGTACTTTATGATAAAATGATAAAATTTCTTTGTAACTATGAGTAATGAATATAATTAAGGTGTGTATATTGTAAAGTACATACATATATATAGATTGAGATTATGTATATATATATATAAGCAAGAAATTATATACATAAAAAGCTAAAGTGAAGGAAAATGTTGATAATTTAATATGAGCACATGGTGCTAGCATGCATTATTTCAAGAGAATTGCGTTGAAAAGGTTTTTTTTTTTTTTTTGATATTTTTTTTTTAGTATATTGCAATTTACTCTTGATATTCTTGAATAGGTGTGTTACCTTTTTTATATATTGAAGCAAGCAAGTAAGGAAAATATAGGGAAAGAAACGAAAATAAAAACTATCTTTTTTCTTAAGATTATGATTTGCTAGCTACTTGGACTATTGGACGTAGATTAATACTATATTACTATGCAACGATTGGCTAATGGTGGGGCCATGTGTTAGCATGCTATAATTCTAAGACAAAGTAAGGTTAACTTTCCTTTGCATACACTATATGTTAATGTAATTTCTATCTAATCACCTTGTTTTATTGAGTTGACTAAACGGCTAAAAAGTGTCATTAATCACCTAACCAAGCCAAAAGGGGGGAGGTATGTATAAATGTATAATTAATAATAAAGTCAACTATGGGAAAACTTAATGTTTTCTTGCTTTTAATAAGAAAAGTAATCTTGATTTTTGTGGTTAGAAATTTGTAGTATTGTGTATACAATACATATAACAAGCTAGAATCAAAATTATGTGCCAAAACAAGCAATATAATCATGTTCACTAATGCTTCAAATGTTACATCTTTATTTCCTTTTCCAATCTTGTACACAATTAAGAATCTACTTCATTATGTGTTTGAGGATAATGTATACATTTTCCTTAGTTTCACTCTTTAATATATATATATATATATATATATATATATATATATATATATATATATAATGAACAACTAATTCCCTTACCTTACATAATATAACATGTGCGTCAAAATATACTTAAAGAGTCGTGTATTGTATAGATATCCATATTCTAGCAATTAGAGGGGAGGATTGATAATTCTTATTTCTCCAACCATTAGGCCAACTTTAATTCTTAGTGAAATGGAACAAACAAGTGGAACAAAGATGCTATGCTCTTTTCACCTAAACTTATCTTATCCGGCTTGATTAGACCTGATGACGTACCCTAACACATGTTTGGACCTGATTACCCTTACACTTGATTGGACCTAATCAAGCCATGAAACTTATTTTTTACATATACATAATTTAATACACCAGAGGAAGATTATTTGAGAAAATTCTTCATCATGATCTGATCGAAAAGATTATTTATAAATTTATTGACATGTTTCAAAAAAAAAAAAAAAATCGAAAAGGTTATTTATAAAGTTATTGACATTTCATCACCTCTTTCATACTCAACGCATGCTTTGAAACTTCAATGAAAATTTCGTAATAAAAGTAACCTAATACATCCACTTATTTATGAATAGATAACTCTATCTAATTATAACTACTGCACTTCATATAAAAAAGACAAAGGTTTATAAAATTTCACATATTATTATAAGACCTCATGAAGAAGTTTACATCATCACAAAAGCTTATAATAGGAAAAGATCGAGTAAAACTAATATGCATTCGATCTATTTCAAGTGCATCACTAATTTAGATTAGTCTACTATACAATGTGCTAATATAGGGATCTAAACCTAAAGACTTATAAGTTTTGTTTTATTGATGTGAATGTCACATTCTCAATTTCACTCTTACTTATAAATTAATGACATGATATTTATAACGAGGATGATTGTTCAAGTTTAATTTTTAATAAGTTTTAAGTTCATGTTCAAACATTAACCTTAGTATATTCTCATCATAAATCATGTACTACTTATGTTTATTTAGAATAAGTATTATGCTGATCTACATATTCTTTTCATGTGTAATAAGTTAAAATATAAAAATAGTTTTTGGGGTTTAATTTTTTGTGTATTGATTCACAAACGAAAGGAATACAAGTTTAAATATACACAAACTTGCCTAAACAAGTCTCTGTAATCTCTCTCAGAATAATGGGGGATTTGATACTAATTGATACTAACCTAAAATATTTACAGACAAAATATTTCAGTATCCTAAAATATCCCACAGTATAATTTTTAACACCCCCCCTCAAGTTGGGTAGTAGGGTCTCCAACACCCAACTTGGACAAAGCTTCTTCATGTCTGAGCCGTGACAACCTTGGTCAAGATGTCTACCAAATTGATCTTCTGATCTCACAAATGGTAGGCTTATCACTTTTGCTTCTAAGCTGTCCTTGATGAAATGTCTGTCAATCTCCACATGTTTGGTTCGATCATGTTGAACCGGATTTTCTGATACACGGATTGTTGCCATATTATCATAGTACAACTTGTAGCTTCTCTTGGGTGCGTACCCTAGTTCAGACAATATTTTTATGAGCCATAGAACTTCAGTAATCCCCTTTGCTATGCCTCTAAACTCGGCCTCAGCACTGGACATCACAACCACCTTCTGTCGCTTACTTCTCCAAGTAACTAAATTCCCTCCGGCTAAGGTAAAGTACCCGGATGTGGATTTCCTACTATCTCGATATCCTCCCCAATCTGCATCAGTGAAGGCATGAAGATCCAAGTGACCATGTTTTTCAAACATGACCCCTCTTCTAGGTGTCCCCTTTAAATACCTCAAGATTCTGTAGACAGCTTCAAGATGTTGGCTTTGAGGTTTATGCATGAATCTGCTAACAACTCCTACTGCATAGGCTAAGTCTGGCCGAGTATGAGAGAGATAGATCAACTTTCCAACGAGTCTCTCGTATTGGGTTTGATCTACCAACTTTTCTCCTTCTATTGTTTGTAGCCCATGGTTCATCATCATTGGAGTGTCTATGGGTTTGCAGTCTAACATCCCTGCTTCTGTTAGGAGATCAAGAACATACTTCCTTTGAGAAATAAAGATACCTTTCTGTGATCTGAGTACTCTATCCCTAGGAAATATTTAAGGTTTCCAAGATCCTTCATAATTCTCGGAAAAGTTTCTCTTTCAGTTCATCTATTTCTTCTTTATCATCTCCAGTAATAATCATATCATCAACATAGATAATGAGGCAAGTAGTCAATTCTCCCCTTTTCTTTAAGAACAGGGTATGATCCGAGTTACTCTGTCGGTATCCGAATTTTTTCATTACTGAAGTGAATCTTCCAAACCATGCTCTTGGAGACTGCTTAAGACCATATAAAGCCTTCCGTAATCTGCATCCTTCTCCAGTTGAAAAACCTTGTGAGAAGCCTGGTGGAGTTTCCATGTACACTTCCTTAGAGAGATCCCCATGTAAGAAGGCATTTTTAACATCAAACTGGTGTAAAGGCCAGTCTTTGTTGGCAGCTATTGAGAATCATACTCTGATTGTGTTGAAGTTCGCAACTGGTGAGAAAGTTTCTGCATAATCTATCCCATATGTCTGAGTATATCCCTTGGCCACGAGTCTTGCTTTGTATTTTATCGTGAACACCCATCACTACTAGAAAACAGGCCATTTCCGACGGCAAAATTCCGTCGGAAACACCCTGAAATCCGTCGGAAAAGGCCGTTTCCGACGGAATTTCCGTCGGTACGGGTTGTCGGAAAACTTTTGTTGGAAAAACGGCCTTTTCCGTCGGAAAACACTGTTCCGACGGAATTTCCGACAAACTTTCATCTTCGGAAGAGGAATTCCGGTCACCGGAAAGTCCGCCGGAAACTTCCGACGAGAATTCCGTCGGAAATAGCATTAAAAAAAATTAAAAAAAAACCTAGCACCACCCCAACCACCCTATCCAGTCACCATACCTACCACCAGCCCACCCCCTACCCCCCTACCCACCCATACCCCTACCAGCCCACCCACCACCCCCACCACCAGCCCTAGCCTAAACCCACCCACCCACCTTACTTGAACCCACCCCCTTAACCCACCACCAGCCCACCCCCTGCCCCCCTACCCACCCCCCTGCCACCACCCTTAAACCGACACCACCAGCCCATCCCTTGCCACCCTCTGCCCCCCTACCCACCACCAGACCCACCACAATCCCACCCCAATACGAAACCAGACACCACCAACACAACCCACCGACACCACCCCACCACAACAGCCCACCCTACCCCACCACCACCAACACCACCACACACCACCACCATTCCAAAAATTCAGTAAAAACTGAAATTAACCCCAAAAAACCGAAAATTAACCCCAAAAATACAAAAATTAATACAACATAATAAAATTTTACCACACCAAAAAAAATAAAATCAGATCTACATATTAATCAGAATTTCAATAAAAAAATTTAACAAAAACGATAATTAACAAACGAAAATTTAAAGAAATAAATTAATATACAATTTTATTTTAAATTTTATGAACTAATATTACAATGCCATACCTAAATTACAAGATCTAAAAAAAAAAACCTTGAGAATGGTGCAGGGCCTCGCGACGGTGGTTGCTCGGTGCTGCTATGCTCAGTGATAGGCCGGTGCTATGGCCGGTGAGGGATGAGGAGAGAGAAGAGAAAAGGAGGAGGAGGAAAAGAAAAAGAACGAAAAGAGAGAAGAGAAAAGGAGCAGGAGGAAGGAGAAGAGAAATGAGGAGAGAGAGAGAGAGAGAGGAGAAGAGATGGAGGCGGGCAGAGAGAGAGAAAGAGAAGAGAGGAATGGGAAATAAAAGGGGGGGGGAAAACTGGGTTTTTGAAGAACTTTTAGGGTTAGTTTTTTTTTATTATTTTATTATATTCCGACGGAATATTCCGTCGGAAAATACTCTTCCGACGGAATATTCCGTCAGAAAATTCCGACGGATTTATTTCCCGCCGGAAAATAACTGTTTCGACGGAATATTCCGTCGGAAATTTCCGACGGATTTTATTTCCGTCGAAACATTACGGTTCTGACGAAAAAATCCGTCGGAAGGCCCATAAATTTCAACGGATTTTTATTCCGTAGGAAATCCGTCGTAAATTTCCGACGGAATAAAAATCCGTCGTAAATTGCCGACGGAAAACATGTTCGTCGGAAATCGGCCCGTTTCTAGTAGTGCATCTGCCTTGTATTTTATCGTGAACACCCATCTGCCTTATATTTTATCGTGAACACCCATCTGCATCCCACTAGTTTCTTTCCACTAGGTAGAATTCACTTTGCCCAGGTTTTGTTTTGGATAAGTGCATTAATTTCATCTTCCATTGATTTCTTCCAATGTTTGCAATTGAGAGCTTCTTTCGTCGTGGTGGGAATAGTTTCATAGTAGATTGCAGCATTATAGGCTTTGGCTACGTGAGATATATTTTCTTCATTTGGTTTGTTTACTGGATACTTGGACCTCTGTGCCTCAAAATTTGGGTCATACCGCTTTGGTGGAACACCCCTTGTGCTTCTGGGAGGCAACACATA